TTACCGCAATTCGAAGGCAGAGTGCATCTGTGGATGTAGTGCTCCTACTCCACTATTTTCTCGCGCCCACTCCGTCTTGACAAGTCCCCGCAATTGTTTTCCACAATCATTTCACTGATCCCATGCAAATAGCAAGGGAATGACCAAACCCGATTTCCACAAACACCGTCCCTCTGGATGCCAAAATAGGCGACTGAACAGCGCTGCTCTCTTCCCTATTTCAAACCCTCCTGCTCCCGTTCAGCGGCGATTCCATGAATGTGCTGGATAGGGCTGCACGGGTTCGGATCGGATCGTGTGCGAGAATTTATCATCCATTCAGCTGTAGTTTAATTTTCACTTTCAGTTAAAAGCAAACGAATCCCAACACACATTCATAATCACGTTCACACAGAATTCCAATTCCCGTCACTGGCGCTTCCTGCAACTGACTCTTCGAAGTTACGCCCGACGACCGTCCACCCTCCCCATATTTCTACCTGTACCATGGATGACCCTGTCGTACCACCAACATTTTCTCTTTCATTCCCGCTCCCCTCCGTGCTCCGCTGGATACCATCCTACTTCGGTATCATTTTTTATCACTTCTCCTGCACCCCGGCTTTCCCCCGCTGATCCAACTTCCTCGCTTGTTCCATTCATTCCTCGTTCCTTTCTGGGATACTCTATCATCTCGGCTTAAAGCAGAAGAAACATTAAGTATCGTGTAGATAAGATGTGAATTTTTTTACAGCACAGATGGTTTGCTTATCGATGCAAAAAACATAGCAGGCCTGTATAACATACACATTTGAAGCAAGATACCAAATCAATTCATTTCTTAAACCTGGAAAGTCATCATTTTTATGATTTTTTCATACCTGCGCACGTTGGCCAGAGGTTGCCGGTGTGTGTGTGCTCAGCAACCGCAGAAGCTAGGAAGCTGAAGTTTTATGTAGATCCCGGCAGCTTAAAATCAACTTTCATGCGCACCTGGGTGTCGCGACAGACGTCTAAAAGTCAATGTGTATACTTTTTTTTGACGGGAAAACGATTACGAGGGCCAGATAGGACAGAAAGCTGAAACCTTACGTACATATTTTCTGTCCATGTGCGAGCAAAAGATCTCAAATTCAGTATTACGTCAAATTTGAAATCCAGACACCGCTGGTAAAATTCCAACTCGAGAATCAGGGTGAGTTGAGTGCTCTGACTTCAAGAGAGCCTTTGTTGGTCATAAAGGAGTAAATGAGAAATAAACTTTGACGTGCGCTAATCCCCTTAACATATCTACGATAAATTATACTTGAAAAGCTCTCGTTAATTGCGTTTAATTTACAGGCATAATAAAAGGGGATATAGTAGTCGTGTCATATTGCGCCAAGCATACTGTATCTAAATATTAAAACTATACGGTAAACATATTGGTGATTTTTGCTTTGTTCCTCTGGCTTCTTTCGCATAACCGATGAAATGCTTACGTATACTGTTCTCGCTTCTGCTGCCTGCCATCATAACCACTCAGAATGCTTCTGCGCTTCTCCTTATAGTTACGACGAGTTATTGTAGGAAGTGTTAATCCTATAAGAGTTTCTAATCCATCGGCCAATGCCTGTACAGGATCCTGCAGTGGAAAAATGAGAAACTGGTACAGCACGATGAAGTCGCTGGGGAACTAAAACGATGATGAGAGATGTGACGAATCGCGAGAACAATTTTCACAGAAGTCTACAGCAAACGAAATCATGTACTTTTTACAGGCGTACTGGGCTGGAATGAACGTTCGTCTGGTGACTGCATGGGTACTGACTGCATGTTGCGCACTAACGGTCGGTGCGGATCTGCCAAGCTGTGATCGGGCTAGATGCCACCACTGTCGAGTACCATTCATCGCCAAAATGTGCCCAGAAACCTGTGAGCCGTGCCCGAAGGAGAAATTTTTGCTGGTTCACGCATTTTTCACTTCAGTCTTCGCTTATTTAATTATGGATAGAAAAATTGCTACTGAAATACTTTCCATCTGAAATGCTCAGTTCCCTTTTCGAAAAGTTTCAAATTTCGTATATTTGCAGGACAACGAACTTCCGGCAAAGAAAACTCCGGATGGAACGACGAAAGACTTCAGGCAACAACAAAAGAAATTTCCTCGCAAGCCTCATGTAAGATTTCGCTGAGAACCCCTCGTTTCGCTTGTTTGTAAAAAGAAGTTATTTTTTACAAAAAGCGAAACGCAGCCATTTTCTTTCAATTTTTAGAAGTCGATTCATGCCCATTTTGGTAACCAGCCCATGCTACTCTTTTCTAATAAATAAAAACAACGAAAAGTTTATACATATCTGCCCCCTTATCTTCTC